GGAGCGTGCAGTGAACCGAGATTGTGCCAGTGCACTCCAGCCTGCGTGACAGAGCGAGACTCTGTCTCAAAAAAAAAAAAAAGCCTGAATTTTGCTAAGAAATCCTGTGTGATTGGGATTAAGGAACAGGTGCTTTCTTGGAAACCAGTAGACTTTCAGTGTTTGGGGATCGGCTTAATTTTGATCACATTATTTATCTTTTTTTTTTTTTTTTCTTTTTGAGACAGGGCCTCACCCTGTTGTCCAGGCTGGAGTGCAGTGGCATGATCATGGCTCACTGTAGCTTCGACTTCCTGGGCTCAGGTGATTCTCCCATCTCAACCTTCCAAATACCTGAATATAGGCATGCATCGCCACGCCTGGCTAAGTTTTAAATTTTTTGTAGAGATGGAGTTTCACCGTGTTGTCCAGGCTGGTCTAGAACTCCTGGGCTCAAGTGATGTGCCTGCCTCAGCCTCCCAGCATGCTGGGATTACAGGTGAGAGCCACCTCACTTGGCCTGTTTAACGTTTTTTGAACTGTGGACTAAAAGGTAGATTTTTTTTTTTCTTTCTAAAACTGGTGAGGGCCTTAGAGTGCTAGAACATGAGCAAAATTTTAAAAAGATAATTCTGAAAAGGAGATTATGAGAAGAATCAGGGTCTTAAGCATATTAAGGTAGGCACATTTCTTAAGGGGCTAGAGTGGGACTGAATTATTGAATGTCAGCTTCATTTTTGCCATCCTTAATATAGTAGATGAAGGATGAGAATATAGAGATATTTAAAATATCCAGGTAGCTGGGCTCTGTGGCTCATGCCTATAATGCCAGCACTTTGGGAGGCCAATGCAGGAGGATAACTTGAGGCCAGAAGTTTGAGACCAGTCTGGGAAACGTAATGAGAACCTATCTATACAAACAATTTTTAAAATTAGCTGGGTATGGTGGCATGCACCTGTAGTCTCAGCTACTTGGGAAGCTGAGGCGAGAGGATCACTTGAACCCAGGAGTTCAAAGCTGCAGTGAGCTATGATCATGCAACTGTACTCTTGCCGGCACAACATAGTGAGACTTTGTCTCTTAAAAAAAAAAAAAAAAGAAAACAGGCCAGGCACAATGGCTCATGCCTGTAACCCCAGCACTTGAGAGGCCAAGGCAAGAGACTCACTTGAGCTCAGGGGTTTGAGGCCAGCCTGGGCAACATAGGGAGACCCCATCTCTACAAGAAATTAAAAAAAAAAAATTGGCTGGGTGCAGTGGCTCATGCTTGTAAACCTGGTACTTTGGGAGGCTGAGGTGGGTGGATCAGTTGAGGTCAGGAGTTCGAGGCCAGCCTGGCCAACATGGAGAAACCCTGTCTTTACTAAAAATACAAAAAAATTAGCCAGGCATGGTGGCACATGCCTGTAATCCCAGCTACTCGGGAGGCTGAGGTAGGATAATTGCTTGAACCTGGGAGTGGAGGTTGCAGTAAGCCGAGATTGTGCCATGCACTGCAGCCTGGACAACAGAACAAGATCCTGTCTCAAAAAAGAAAAGAAAAAGAAAAACAGAAGTATGGTAAGTCAGGGACTATCTTTCTGTGTTGCTAGCATTAAATACATTTTCTTTCTTTTTTTTTTTTTTTTTTTAGTTTTGGTTGCCAGGGAGGATCCTAACACATTAAAAAAAATTTTTTTGAGACAAGGTCTCACTCTGTTGCCCCAGCTGGAGTGCAGTGACTCAATCATGGCTCACTGCAGCTTCGACTTCCCAGGCTCCAGGGATCCTCCCACCTTAGCCTCCCAAATACCTGAGACTATGGGTGTGCACCACCATGCCTGGCTAATGTTTTATTTTCTGTAGACATAGGGTCTCACTTTGTTGTTCAGGCTAATCTTGAACTCTTGGGCTCAAGTGATTCTCCCACCTCAGCCGCCCAAACTGCTGGGATTACAGACATGAGCCACTGCATCTGGTCTAAGTGTGTTTTTAACTTATATTTTCAACTTGTGATGGGTTTATGGGGAAGAAATCCCATCATAAGTGAAGGAGCATCTGTGTTTTGCTTCCATCGTGCATAATCATCTGGAATCAGGATGAACTACTATGAATGTTGACAGGAATACTACCTTGAGCTAGCTGACGGTTTGGGGTTGCTGGAACCTTAAGCAAGGGCAGGATGAATGTAGTTATTTAAGGAAAAAGGGTTATGAAGTGTTGCACGTAAGTTGGCAAGACCTGAAAATTCTGGGACCCAACATTGGCTTGGTGAGTTTTACTTTGTTCTTGTAGCTAGACAATGTTTCTGCCAAATCACTTTCCCACACACAGTTAAAACAGATACAGTTTGCAGATCTCTCTGCCATTTCTAGGGTACTATATCTTACCTAGTGTTGTGTGAATGTGTGTTTTGAGACAGGGTCTCACTGTGTCACCCAGCCTGGACCAGCCTGGTGTGCAGTGGTGTGATCATGGCTCACTGCAGCCTCAACCTGCTGGGCTCAGGTGATCCTCCTACCTCAGCCTCCCAAGTGGCTGCGACTACAAGCACACGCCACCACGCCTGGCTAATTTTTAAAATTATTTTTGGTAGAGACAGGGTCTCGCTGTGTTGCCCAGGCTGGTTTTGAACTCCTGGGCTCAAGTGATCCCCTCACCTCAGCCTCCCAAAGTGCTGGGATTATGGGCATGAGCTGCCATGCCTAGCCCTTAATGTTAATGTGCACTTTTTCTCATGTTACAGACCAGTTTTCTAGGTGTGCTCCATGGAAGTTTAAGCATATGCTGTAAGCATGTAGATAACATCTAGTCCACCTATCCTCACCTTTTCTTTTGTTAACTGATTTAACTGGTGAGAAAAATTGAGGCCCAGAGAGTTGTAACTCAGGATCATACTGTAATGGCAAAAACCGGTTCCTGAATCCAGATTTTCTGACCCAGGCCAGTGCTCATTTTAACATCTTTAATTCAAACTGATTATCATCATGACATTTACCATTTGTGTACTTAATGTGTGCCAGGTCTTGTGCTAAGCCTTATATAGCTCTCATCTTGATTAATCCTCTTAACAATTCTACGAGGCCGGTCAGTACGTTATAGATGAATAAACAGGCTTGATGACTTGCCTGAGGAAGCACAGCAAGTAAGTGCTGGAACTAAGATTTCAGCCCAATTCTGTCTAGTTCCAAAGCCTGTATTCTTTTTTCTTCTTTTCTTTTTTGACTAAATATTTATGTAAAAGGTAATAAAGAATAATATGACAAATACCCAACACCCAGTTTAAGAAATAAAGTATTACCAACCATCTGAAGCTCCCTTCCCATTACATTGTCCTCTCTTTCCCTCCGAAGTAATCATCCACTTTCCTGAGTTTCAAATTTGTTCTCCTAACCACCAAGCTATACAGCTTCATTTATTAAGTGCCATGGGAGCTGGAGCTACTGTTAATCAACAGTAAACAAGAAAGACATGTTTTCTGCCCTTGAGGAGTTTCCTATGGGTGATAATGAAATATTTGTTTCTTAATCTTTCTGGAGATCTTCAGTAGCTGGCAGGAAATGTCACATTTTCATCAAGGAAGTTTAAGAAGTCCTTCAGGAGATCACTGGTGATATGTTGGGAGGTTGCCTAGATATTACACACATGAATCAGAGTTAAGAATACATGTGTTGGCTGGGCGCAGTGGCTCATGCCTGTAGGGGACGCAATGCAATTTCGGCTCACTGCAACCTCTGCCTCCCGGTTTCAAACGATTCTCCTGCCTCAGCCTCCCTAGTAGCTGGGACTACAAGCGCATGCCACCACGCCCAGCTAATTTTTGTATTTTTAGTAGAGATGGGGTTTCACCTTGTTGGCCAGGATGGTCTCTATCTCTTGACCTCATGATCTGTCCACCTTGGCCTCCCAAAGTGCCGGGATTACAGGCGTGAGTATTTTAGCTGTAAGTTCTTTTGATAAATACAGAGCTCACATACCCTCTGAGTTCCAACACCAATTTTCCTATACCAACCGAGTGTCATACAATTCAGTTCAGTTCTAATGATGGCAGTGGCAGCCATCTGGAGTGGCCGTTGGCTGCAGCAGGGAGGCGCAGGCGGTGGCAGCAGGAGCAGCTGCTGGAGCAGCAGTGGTGGCGGTGGGACCCCTGTGCTCTGCATCCCTGAGGCAACTGAGTGCACCATTCCCACCTCTCATGGCTGGGCAGGACCTGCTTCCAGGCCGGGAGCCTCCACTGTGGCCTCAACCTGTCCCCCGACTGTGTCTCAGGAGCCCATGAGCACTCTGCTGAAGGTGCAGCTGGGACTCGTGGGGCCAGCCTCAAGATCATTGGGTTCGTTTGTGCGGCGTTGGCCGGGGCTGCCATACCACCTGTACCTCATCTGCTGCTGTTGCAGGAGAAATGTGGAGAGGAGAGGTGCAGTCCCCAGAGCCCACCCCTGGGAGCCCCCTGGAGCCTGATACCCTGAGAGCCACCATGATGGGGCGGGGCCGGGCCGAGTCACCCACTGGCAGGGGAGCAGTCTGATCAGGCACGGAGGGGTGGGCAGAGAGGGGCCCCGAGGTGGAGCTGGGCCCTGAGCGGTGCCGCGCTCCGTGGAGCTGGCAGGAGCTGGAAGCAGGCAGGAGCCCCACCTCCCAGTCGCAGCTGCAGCTGCCCAGCCGTGGCTGTGGACCCAGGCATCTCTGCAGTCTCGGGGGCCTGGGAAGCCTGTGGACTTGGAGGTGTCTGCTCCTGCTGCTTGGCCTCTCCTTGCTCCTGGCACCCGTTCTGATCTCAGAGTGAGGTTGGGGCCAAGCCTAGGTGCTGTTGCAGCCTGGCCGGGTGTGCGCATGCTTGGGGCAGTGGTGACATGCCAGACCCCTGCCACTTTGGCCCCCTCCAGACTTTGGGCACCGGCGAGCATGGGAGGGAGGCTGAGGGCAGCTTGGCGCAGGCCTGCAGGTACCCCTTGGCACTGTCTTGGCGCCTTGAATGCCAGCAGGAGGCAGACAGGCTCCTGGGCAGAAGGGGGCAGGTCCGCACCTTCAGGCTGGGGACTGCCTGAAGCCCAGGGGCTGGGCTGCTGATCCCGCAGACCAGTGTGGGAACCTGTGGCACGGGTCCTCCCATGGCTTCCCATGGACCAATCGGCACACTCTTCCTCCCCTCTGAGGCCCATAAAAAGCCCCCCCAGACTCTGCCAGACCAAAAGAGAGACGATGGGATGACCTGCCTACAGAGAGGTATTACCCTCTCTGCTGAGAGCTGAACATTCTTCGGGACAACATGCTGAACATTCTTCGGGATAGCTCCTCTCTGCTGAGAACTGAACACTTGTTGGGACACCCTGGCTACAGAGAGGAGGTACTCGCTGTAGGTTTCCTCTGAGCTGTTCTGTTGCTCGGTAAAGCTCCTGTTTGTCTTGCTCACCCTCCACTTGTCTGTTACCTCATTATTCCCAGATGCAGGACAAGAACTCAGGACCTGCCAAATGATGGGGCTAAAAGAGCTGTAACACAAACAGGGCTGAAATATGCCCCTTGCTTGCTACCTTGAGAGCGTAGAGAAGGAGAGAAGAGCTGCAGCCCTTTAGGGAGCCCGGATCTGGGAGCTCCCTTAGCCAGGGCTGTGACTCCCTCTTTGGGGCCCTGTGGTTCCTGGAGTTGCCAAGCTTCTGGGCACCACTCTGTTCTCCATTGCAGCTGTGGAAGCTGCTTGTGGTGCGCCTGGTCCACCTGCAGCCTTGCAGGGAGATGGTGCCCAAGCTGGCACCTGGAGCTGCCCACCTTGCAGCAGCAGCCGGCATGCCTGGCTGTGCACAGTGGTCAGACCCCTTGCTTGTTCACACACCCCTCACCACTTTGTGCCTGGCTCACCTTTGGCAGGCATGGGATCCAGGCTGGTCGTGTGAGTTGAGCACAGCCTGCAAGGCTGAGTGGGTGGAACGAGCCCAGTGGGCCAGAGCAAAACTTGAGCAAAGGCACCACTGGCCACAGAAGTTTCCAGTTGGTGAAATGACACCCCAAGGATCCTGTAACACTGACACCACCCAGAGTTAGCTTCAGATCCACTATAGTCGCCCAGTGGGTTCTTCTGCCTGCTACACAGACAGACCAATTCACTGAGACCACAGTATTGTAGTAAAGAAATAACTTAATTAACACAAGGCTGGCCATGCAGGAGAACTAGATGTATCACTCAAATTAGTCTCCCAGAAGGCTCAGAGGTTTGAGTTTTTCAAGGATAGTTTGGTGGGCAGGGGGCTAGAGAATGGAGGGTGTTTTGATTGGTTGAGGATTAAATCATAGGGATGCGGAAAAGGTTCCTCATGTGCTCAGTCAGCCACTGATTAGGGGCCACAGGATCGATTGAGTCACAAGTTGTGGGTCCTGGTAGAGTCAGTCCTTCACCAGAAATGCAAAAAAAATCTCAGAATGCCAGTTGTAGGCTCCGCTATAGTGATGTTATTCACAGGAGTCACGGGGGAAGTTACAAATCTCCTGACCTCCGGAACAATGGTTGGTTATTGTTTACACCTATATCTTAGCAGAATTCAGGTCCCTCACATAATCCTAACCTTGTGGCCTTTCATTAGTTTTACAAAGGTGGTTTAGTTTTAGGAAGTGCTGTTATCATTCTTGCTTTAAGATTAAACAGTAAACTTAAATTCCTCTCAAGGTTATCTTGGCCTATTCCCAGGAATGACCAAGGACAGCTTGGAGGTTAGAAGCAAGATGGAGGCCGGGCGCGGTGCCTCACGCCTGTAATCCCAGCACTTTGGGAGGCCAAGGTGGGCAGATCACGAGGTCAGGAGATCTAGCCCATCCTGGCTAACACGGTGAAACCCCGTCTCTACTAAAAATACAAAAAATTAGCCGGGCGTGTGGTGGGCGTCTGTAATCCCAGCTGCACGGGAGGCTGAGGCAGGAGAATGGCGTGAACCCGGGAGGCGGAGCTTGCAGTGAGCTGAGATCGCACCATTCCACTCCAGCCAGGGCGACAGAGCGAGACTCCATCTCAAAAAAAGAAAAAGAAAAAAAAAAGAGGCAAGATGGAGTGAACTATGTCAGATTTCTCTTACTGCCATTCATAATTTTACAAAGGCAGTTTCACCACCAGTTAAAGAGCAAAGTTCCCAACAACATTGCCCTTACTTCAGCAGTGTGCACTTTGGCCTGACCAACTACAAATTCAGGGCTTCCTACTGCCCCCTCAGACTAGAGCGCGTCACAAAACTCGGGAAAGTGCTATATTCACGATTATACAAATGAACAACCAGATTGAAGAGGTATGTGGGGAAAGGTCTGGAAGGGTCCTGAGCTCAGGAGCTTCTTTCCCTGTATGGTCAGTGTGCACCACCTTCCTGGTACATTGACCTGTTCACTAACCAGGAAGCTCTCTTGATCTTTGATGTTCAGAGTTTTTATATGGGTTTTCAGTAGGTAGACGCGATTAAGTCATTGGCCACGTGCTTGACTCCAGGTCTTTCCCCATTGGAGGTTTTGGGATGGGGCTGAGAGTTCTGACCCTCTAATCATGTAGTTGGTTTTTCTGGTGAAAACCCTGCTAGCATGCTCTGTTGCCTCCTTCTCCCCACATGAGTCACCTCATTAGGATGAACTCAATATGGTTGAAAGGGACTCATTATTCATAATAAAAGACACTCCTATCATTCAGGAAATTCCAAAGGATTCTGATGCTCTGTGCCAGGAGCTGGGGACAAAGACCAGATGTATTCTATGTTATATCACACCCTCCTTTATATTATTTGAAATTTTAACATTTTATTTTTTACTAAAAACAAATTGAACAAAGTAATTTTAGCATATGTTTATATTTTAACTGCTTCAGCAGTTACCTGTTTTTCCCAGTTCTCCGGTTGCTGTTAAGAAAATATTTGAATGGTAGTTCCAGAATCTCCAGGAGGTGGGACTAATTTCCTTAGTGATGATGCTGAAAATACAGCAGTCAAATCAGATGATTCAGTCTGGTTGATGTGCTAGAGGCCCTTTTCCCATTCATGTAAAATTGGAAAATTTTGTTCACTATCCAAGTGTTTCCAAATATTTGTTTATTGTGTCAATGTAGACTCATATATATTAAGTATATATCTTGGGTATAAATTTAAGTTATAATTTAATAGAAATGTGGCACAGAAGTAGTTCAAAGGAGGAAGTGGAGGAAATAAGAGCTATAGGTAGAATTTGAACCATCCTTGAAAGGTAATTATTAATAACATTTGGAAAAGTAGAGGGGAGAGTGGGAATGATGTTTAGATGAGAGAAACTGTGAGGTGGGCAGGATTTATCGTGGCTTGTTTGGACTTATACAATGCAGAATGGCCTTATTTGAGCAAATTGATAGTGGGAAATGAGATTAGATAGGTGAGCTAGGGATAGATTATGATATTCAAAGGCCAGTAGAATGATTTCATTTTGATGTGGTAGATAATTGAGAGTCAAAGAAAGTGTTTGGTCAGGTGAGTTAGAAAATGAAAAGACCATGTAAGAAAAATGGACCAGCATTTGTATTGTTGGTAGATTAATGAGGAGAGAGACTGGAGAAAGGGATAGGAAATTTGGGACTGGGAGATTTTTCAGTAAAAGTACCATAATTAGGGAAATAGGGGAACAGCGAGGGAAGGAATGAATATTAAAAATGTCAAAGGAAAATTTGACAGATCTTGACTGCTAAATGCAGAGGAATGATGAATCGGAGATGGTACATTTAAAAAATTTTTCTTTTTATCCAGATATGTGAAAAGAATGTTAGCCAAGGCTGGGCGTAGTGGCTCACACCTGGTAATCCCAGCACTTTGGGAGGCCGAGGTGGGCAGATCACAAGGTCAAGAGTTCGAGACCAGCCTGGCCAATATGGTAAAATCCTGTCTCTACTAAAAATACAAAAAGTAGCCGGCGTGGTGGTGTGCACCTGTAATCCCAGCTACTTGGGAGGCTGAAGCAGGAGAATCACTTGAACCTGGGAGGCAGAGGTTGCAATAAGCTGAGATTGTGCCACTGCACTCCAGTCTAGGCGACAGAGCAAGACTCCATCTTAAAGAAAAAGAAAGGGGAAAAAAAAAAAAAAAGAATGTTAACTATATTGGTGATAACTATCTAAGTCTGTTACAATGTAATGTAAAAGTAGAGAGGACCTAGTGGCCATGATCAGTGGTATCCCCAGGATCAAGAATAGTGCCTGGCTTATAGAATTGCTCAAGAAGTGTTTATCAAAAGATGAAAGAATGCATTTAACCTGTCAACTTTGGGGTAAATTTTAGTTGTCATCTTTAACATCCCAATTTTTTTTTTTTTTTTTTTTACGGAGTCTCGCTTTGTCGCCAGGCTGGAGTACAATGGTGTGATCTTGGCTCACTGCAGCCTCCACCTCCCAGGTTCAAGCAATTCTCCTGCCTCAGCCTCCCAAGCAGCTGGGACTACAGGCATGTGCCACCATGCCCAGCTAATTTGTATTTTTAATAGAGATGGGGTTTCACCATGTTGACCAGGATGGTCTTGATCTCTTGACCTCATGATCTGCCTGCCTCGGCCTCCCAAAGTGCTGGGATTATGGGCTTGAGCCACCGTGCCCAGCCTAACATCCCAATTTTTAATACCAAAAATGGACTTTAAAAATAATACTTATTGAGGCTGGGCGTGGTGGCTCACACCTGTAGTCCCAGCACTTTGGGAGGTTGAGGCAGGTAGATGACTTGAGCCCAGGAATTCAAGACCAGCCTGGGCAACATAGTGAAACCCTGTCTCTACTAAAAATACAGAAAATTAGCCAGGTATAGTAGTGCACACCTGTAGTCCTAGCTACCCAGGAGGCTGAGGTGGGAGGATCATTTGAGCCTGGAAGGTCAAAACTACAGTGAGCTGTGATGATGCAATTGCACTTCAACCTGGGTGACAGAGTGAGACCCTGTCTCAAAAATAAATAAATAAGCTGGACGTGGTGGCTCACACCTGTAATCCCAGCACTTAGGGAGGCCGAGGTGGGTGGATCACTTCAGGCCAGGAGTTCAAGACCAGCCTGGCCAACATGGTGAAACTCCCTCTCTACTAACAACAACAACAACAACAAAAACAAAAACAACAATACAAAAATTAGCCAGGCATGGTGGCACACACCTGTAATCCTAGCTACTTGGGAGGCTGAGGCACAAGAATGGCTTGAACCTGGGAGGTGGAAGTTGCAGTGAACCAAGATCGTGCCGCTACACTCCAGCCTGAGTGATCGACAGAGACCCTGTCTCAAAAAAAAAAAAAAAAAAAGTTACTGATCTTTTCTAGTTACAAAAATTTTGTGTTTGTTTTTCAAGATAACCACTGTTAGTATAATATATTCATCCAGGGTTTTTTCTATGCACAAACATATTTATCTTTAAAATGGGATCATATTGCACATGCTGACTTATACCTGCATAAGTGTCATTTTTAGAAGTGAAATGGAACTTCAGCCTCCAAATAATGACAAACCATAAAATAATAGGATAATACAGGAGTCTGTTAGTCTGTACTCATATATAAATAAATAAACAGGCATACTTCAGAGATACTGTGAGTTTGGTTCTACACTGCCACAGTAAAGTGGCTTACAAATTTTTTTGGTTTCCCAGTGCATATAAAAGTTATGTTTACAGGCTGGGTGCAGTGGTGCATGCCTGTAATCCCAGCACTTTGGGATGCCAAGATGGGCGGATCTCCTGAGACCAGGAGTTCAAGACCTGCATGGCCAACAAGGTGAAACCCCATCTCTACTAAAAATACAAAAAAATTTAGCCAGACGTAGTGGCACATGCTTGGAATCCCAACCACTCAAGTGGCTGAGGCATGAAAATTCCTTGAATCTGGGTGGCAGAGGTTGCAGCGAGCCAAGATTGTGCCACTGCACTCCAGCTTGGGTGACAGAGCGAGACTCTATCTTAAAAAAAAAAAAAAAAGTTATGTTCATACTATGCGTAGTCTGTTAAGTATGTAATGTAATGTCTAAAAAATGTACATACCTTAATTAAAAAATACTTGATTGTCAAAAAATGCTAATGATTATCTGAGCCTTCAATGAGTTGTAACCTTTTTGCTGGTGGAGAGTCTTGCCTCAGGGTTGATGGCTGCGGACTGTTTAGGGTGGTGATTGCTGAAGGCTGAGGTGACTGTGGCAATTTCTTAAAATAAGACAACTATGATGTTTGCTGCATCGATTGACTCTTCCTTTCACTAAAGGTTTCTCTGTAGCATGTGATGCCATTTAATAGCATTTTACCCACAGTGGAACTTCTTTCAGAATTGGAGTCAGTCCCCTCAAACCCTACTGCTGCTTTATCAACTAAGTTTGTAATATTCCAAGTCGTTTGTTGTCATTTCAGTATTGCTCACAGCATCTTCACCACTAGATTCTGTCTCAAGAAACCACATTCTTTGCTCATCCATAATAAACTCTTAATCTGTTCAAGTTTTATTATGAGATTGCAGTAGTTTAGTCACATTTTAAGGCTTCACTTCTAATTCTAGCTCTTTTCTTGCTATTTCCACCATATCTGCAATTCCTTCATTGAGGTCTTGAATCCCTCAAAGTCATGTGAGGGTTGGAACCAACTTCTTCCAAACTCCTGATAATGTTACTTTGATCTCCTCCCATGAATCATGAATGTTCTTAATGGCATCTAGAATAGTGCATTATTTCCAGAAGGTTTTTAGTTTACTTTGCCCACATCCATCAGGGGAATCACTGTCTATGGCAGCTATATATAGGCTTACAAAATGTAAATAGTAAGCCTAAATAATAAGTCTTGAAAGTTATAATTACTCCTTGAACCATGGACAGCAGACCGGATGTCTTGTTAGCAGGCACAAAAATAATCTCGTACGTCTCCATCAGTGCTCTTGGGTGAACAGGTGTATTGTCAGTGAGCAGTAATATTTTGAAAGGAGTCTTTTTTTTGAGGAGTTGGTCTCAGTAGTAGGCTTAAAATATTCAGTAAACCATTCTGTAAACAGATGTATTGTCATCCAGGCTTTGTTATTCCATTTATAGAGTGCAGGCAGAATAGATTGAGCATAATTTTTTTTTTTTTTTTTTTGAGTTGAAGTCTCGCTGTGTTGCCCGGGCTGGAGTGCAGTGGTGCAATCTCGGCTCACTGCAAACTCCGCCTCATGGGTTCATGCCATTCTCCTGCCTCAGCCTTCTGAGTAGCTGGGACTACAGGCGCCTGCCACAACACCTGGTTAATTTTTGTATTTTTAGTGGAGCCTCCTGAGTAACTGAGATTACAGGTGCGAGCCACCATGCCTGGCCAGATTGAGCATAATTTTTAAGGGCTGTAGGATTTTCAGAATGGCAAATGACCACTGGCTTCAATTTAAAGGCAACCTGCATTAGCCCCTAACAAGAGTCAGCCTATCCGTTTAAGCTTTGAAACCAGGCATTGATGTCTGCTCTCTAGCTATTGATGGCATCTTCTTCTGATATAAGGCTGTTTCATCTACACTGAAAATCTTGGCTGGGTCCTGTAATACCAGCAACTTGGGAGACCAAGACAGGAGGATTGCTTGAGGCCAGGAGTTTAAGATCATCTTGGGCAACATGGTGAGACCCTGTCCCCACAAAGAATTAAAAAATTCACTGGATGTGGCGGCGTGGCCTGTAGTACTAGCTATTCAGGAGGCTAAGGCAGGAGGATTGCTTGAGCCCAAGAGTTCGAGGCTACAGTGAGCTATGATCATCCCACTATGCTCCAACCTAGGTGACACAGACCCCCATCTCAAAGGAAAACAAAGGAAAAGTGCACACACACACACTCTCTCTCACATACACACGCATATATTTTTTCCTTCAGACAGAGTTTCACCCTGTCACCCCAGCTGGAGTACAATGGTAGGATCATGGAGCACTGTGTTCTCCAACTCCTGTGCTCAAACAGTCCTCCCGCCTCAGCCTCCCAAATAGTTGGGACTACAAGTGTGTGCCACCACACCTGGCTAATTTTTTAAAAACTGTTTTGTAGAGACAGGGTCTCACTATGTTACCTAGGCTGGTCGGGAACTCCTGGCCTCAAAGAGTCCTCCCACTTCAGCCTCACAAAGTGCTGGGATTACAGGCATGAGCCGCTGCACCAGACATATACACACACACACACACACACACACAAAAATATATAATATTTATATATAAAAATATATTTATTTATATAATATATATAAGCCTCATAAATTATTCTGATGCATGGCTTTAGGGGTCACCATTCCCTTTTGATGTTAAGTATGGCACAATAAAGAGAAAGCATTGACTTGACCATCAGGAGATGGGTTATTCTCTTAAATCTGCAACTAATCTTTTAGTGAGACTTGGAGAAAATGACTGTCCTGGATCCCAGGTTCTTTATCTGAAAATTTTCTGGGGAGCTGAATAAACTGACATTGCTAACTAGATTCTAGCGGTTCTATGATGATGGATTCATGGACATCATCAGAACTCTGTGAAATGTGACCTGTGGTCAGCCATTTGAAAAAGGCCCAAACCTTACACAAGTCAATTGAAAAGGCCTGTAGAAATCAGAGCTAGAAGACACCTGTTAAATCATCTAATCTATCCCTCTATCAGTGGTACTCAGTTGTTCATAGCATTCTCTAAGCTGTTTTCACTGTCCTTCCTGTGTTCTAGACATTCACTATTTTCCCAGAGACTTGACTTGTGTTCACCCTTCCTTTTAATCGTTTAAGAAGGGAATGGGACTTTTCTTAACTCAAAAAATTTCATTTCTTTTATATTTAGACTTTAATTTTGGAAACTATAATTTGTTGATAATGGCAGAGATTAGTAAGCATGTGGACTGTTTTCCTCTAGATTCACAAAAGGATTTAGTTGATGAGTTGAATGTCTAACAGTAGTAATTATATGATCAGAAAGTGACAGGAATAGAAGTCAAATTTCATAATAAAAGTTAAGATTTTAAAGTTTGTGTATAAAAAAATTGCTAGAATAGAAAATGTAATAGGAGACTTTCTTTGCTTTTACCTTGTTACTAACCTTTTAAATATGATGCTCTATGGAAGAAAGAATGTAGAGATGCATAGAAATGGGCACTCTGATATTCTGTTTAGGAGGATATAAATTGGTTTTTTCATTTTTGGAGATAGTTTAACAATGTCAGTTAAAAATAAAAAAGATCTTGTGCACTAACTTGAGTTCTACTTCTAGGAATTTATTCTGTAGAAATACTAATTGTTGCATTGTTTATAAAAGTGAAAACTTAGGGCCAGGTGCAGTGACTCACACCTGTAATCCCAGCACTTTGGGAGGCTTAGGTTGGTGGATTGCTTGAGTCCAGGAGTTTGAGACCAGCCTGGGCAACATAACGAAACCCTGTCTCTATTAAAA